TATATATATATATATATACACTATATTATAAAGCATTTGACAAAAACTCTTAAAAACAATTTTTTATGCATGAAGTATTGTATATTGAGCATATTACTTAAAATTCAAGATTACAAGTAAATTATGCATAAGTACAACTTATTAAAACTCCATGTTTGAATTCGTGTAACTAACTGCGGATAAACATAATCAAATAAAGGATAAACATCTCATTTTTCTAAAATATAATTAAGATAATTATCGAGTTCTAACAAAATAATTAACTATTATCTTTATAAGAAAATTATATTATTAAGGGGGTGTTTGGGATTGCTTATTTAAAACAACTTATGTTTTTTTGTAAAAGTGCTTATTAACTTATGYGGTATCAAACTGGAGTTTTGTAAAAAGTGTTTGGATTAGCTTATAGCGGTACCAAACCGCAATAAGCTGATAAGTTGTTTTTTAGTGTTTGGCAAATTTTGCTTATATATGTAAAATGACCAAAAAAGACAGGATTGTATGGTGAGGAGCAAGAGATGCACCTGTATTTWATGGCTACTGATACAGATGTRGGTTATCGATCTCTAGGGTTAGTGTATCGATTTGTTCATCGTATAGGGTTATCGATCTCTAGGGTTAGGGTATCGATTTGTTCATCGTATAGGGTAGACGATGATGTATATATGGAGGGGAAGAGATATCGATTGGAGAAGAGGAGATGATGATCGGAGAAGATATCGATTGGAGAAGAGGAGATGATGATCGGAGAAGATATCGATTGGAGAAGAGGAGATGATGATCGGAGAACAGATCGATAAGAGATCGATTTGGAGAAGACGTACCTGGAGAAGAGATCGATGAGAAGAGATCAATTTTGGAGAAACGTAACCTGGAGATCTGATCGATTTTGGAGAAGACATGATTTGGAGACGTGATCGATTGGGGGTGTTTAGACAGGGTTAAAATGGTAAATCGGTAATAAGTCAATTTTCATAAGTCAGTATGGATTAACTTATAAAAAACGACTTATTACCGGTTTGGTACCGGTATAAGCATTTTTTTTTTACCCAAACACTCCAAAATGACTTATCTCCGGTACCAAACTGAAATAAGTTAATAAGTCAGTTTGAAAAGCTTTCCCAAATACCCCCTAAACTAAATATAAATTACTTCGTTATCAAACTTAAATTAAATTATAAAAAAAAAATTGAATTAAAAAATTACACAAAAAATGATGAATTTTAAATAGTTAATATGATTCAAATTTAAATTTTATTCAAAAATAAAAATATCATCGTTTTTTGAAAATCACATAAGACTATATTATAACATTAATTAAGATAAAAAAACAAAATAAAATATTAAAATAAAAAAATATCTCGTTACATTATACGATTATCTTTTTAATACATAATATAATATAATATTCAAACATGTTCAGTCGGATTAGGAAATTTTCAGCCGCCGTCGATAGTGGAGAAGTAGGTCAACCAAAAATAATAGAGGAAGGAATGGTCCGGTCCGGCATCTAAAAAATATTTAATTAGATAATCTTTTCCATCAAATTTACTTTTTAGTGACCTTTTTTTATTTTAGTTATAAAAATCTTTTATGTATTTACATAAATTTGATTTTCAAATTAAAAAAAAATTCTTAATATAAATTTACGTAAATATCACAAGAGGAACTTTATTTTAAAAACCGGTGTAATTGTGATAATTATGAAAACTTTTGCATCATATGTTCTATCATATTTTTTTTTCTAAGGATTTTGAATTTTGAATGACATATATTCTTTTCACATGTACTCAATGTAAACATTTTTTACGTGTTTTTGAAACAAAAAATACACGTAAATGAGTTTCACATCTTGAACCGAATACATATCAAACAAACACGTTATGAAAAAAAATATATGTTATAAATACATTTAGCCAGAAAAAAAAATCACATATAAAATAAAATATTAATATAAAAATTCTCATGAATCTCAAAAAATTTAATTTTTTTTAAATAATCAAGCCATTTGCAAAGTATTTTTTTTTTCAAAATATACAAATAATTTTACATAAATAATGGCAAAAACTGAATTTGGTGGTAAATTCTCCAACAAGACGCCAATTAAGACTAACTTTTGAGATCAATCTGAAAAAATAAAATATTTTTTAAAAAAAATATTAAAAAAAGAAAAATAAATTGTCATTCTCCTCCAATTTCCTTCACCTAGGGTTTTTTTAGATTGACACATGGTATCATGTCGTTGGTTGAATTTAATTTTTTAAAATAAAACTTGTTTGATAATTTAATTATAAGGATGGTGTCTAATTGGTATGAGCTTGACTACAAAGGTCAAAAGTATTAAGAGATCCCAAATTTAAATTCAAAGAAGAATAAAAATCTCTTTGTGGCCATGGAGGTTCAAATACGGTGACTCCGAGCTATCTGCAAAGAAAGTAGTCGTTCCGAGATTAGTTGGCGCGTATAGCAAGTTGGATATCCGGTTAATCAAAAAAATAATAATTTTTAATTGAAATTGAATTGGATAAGACTATCGTTCAATTTACTCTAACTGCTGGGAGGAGTTTTCTATTTATGGAACCAACCTGGCCATACTATCGTCGTCATTGGAACAATGGCTGCCACCGGTGACAGTACTTGCTACGACCGAAAAGCCGAGCTCAAAGCTTTTGACGAAACAAAAGGTGGCGTTAAAGCCCTAGTCGATGCCGGAATCCAAGAAATCCCTCGCATATTCATCCATCAACCGGAGCCCTTGCCCAAATCCTCCACGCCTTTCGAGATTCCAATCTTGGACCTTGGGTCCACCGATAGAGCATCGACGGTGGAGAAGATCCGAGAGGCATCGGAGACTCTAGGATTCTTTCAAGTGGTGAATCACGGGATACCTGTGACTGTGATGAACGAGGTGATTCAAGGAGTCCGTAGATTTCACGAACAAGATGTCGAGGTGAAGAAACGTTTTTACACAAGAGATCCTTCAAACGCAGTGGTGTATCATAGCAATTTCGATCTGTATACTTCCCCTGCCGCTGCTTGGAGGGACACCTTTTATACATTTATGGCTCCGTCACCTCCGTCACCGGAAGAATTGCCTGAGGTTTGCAGAGACATACAAATCGAGTACTCAAATCATGTGATGAAACTAGGGGGCGTCTTGTTTGGATTGATCTCGGAGGCGTTGAACCTAAACCCTAGTCATCTGTCAGATCTGGATTGTGACAAGGGGCTTGCATTCTTCGGCCATTATTACCCTGCTTGTCCACAACCAGATCTAACCATGGGTGCAACCAAACACTCAGATTATGGATTCCTTACCGTGCTTCTACAAGATGAAGTCGGTGGCCTACAAATACTTAATAATAATCAATGGATTGATGTCCCTCCAACACCTGGTGCCCTTGTGATCAACATCGGAGATATATTACAGGTAGAACAGCATTGAACGTTTTGATTTTCACCTTTGAAAAAATGGAGGTTAGATTCTGATATTTTAATCTGTTGGGGTTTCAGATGATGTCTAATGACAAATTGAAGAGCGTGGAGCACAGAGTGGTGGCAAAAGAGGAAGGGCCGAGGGTCTCGGTGGCCTGCTTCTTCAGTACCTCTCTAGCGCCGTTGACGGCATTGTACGGTCCCATCAAAGAGCTGGTTTCCGATGAGAACCCACCGAGGTACAGAGAAACCACGGTTCATGACTACATTCAGTATTCATTCTATAGAGAAGTTGATGGCGTTTCTGGTTTACTTCATTTCAAGCTGTGAAACTTGAATAACTACAAACAAACACACACACACACACACACATATATATATATATATGCATATACTTTGTGCATGATTCTTAAATTACTAGAAATATATACCTTGTAATGCATTTCTATTTTGGTTGTTTCTATTTTAATTTTGTACTTTGTGTGGTTTTAGTTCTAAATGTTGGTGAAAGTTTCCTATTAATTATCAGTTTTATGATACTATCATGAATTTATGAATATCTACGTGTTTTTTGGAATTGTTTATTTGAAATAATTTATGTTTTTTTTTTTTAAATATTTATCAACTTATTATAAGCTAGAATGGTTTAACTTCATCAAAAACTTTTTATTACCGGTTTGGCACCGGTATGTTGTTTATCCAAGTACTGAAAATATAAATGTTTTTTTAGATAACTAGAAGTATATTCGTGCAATGCAACATAATAAATCTTTGTTTCATCTCTTTCGCTTTATTTTATGAATTTATGTGGTTTTGATAGCAAGAGAGTTCTTCAGTTGGTTATTAAGTTTTATGGGGTATTCTATCGTATTGATAGGATTCGACGGTTATGTTGTATTCTAACATGTTTATCAATTATTTATGAGTTACTTTTATAATCTTGAAACGTATTAAGTGAACCGGATATATGTATGTACGTATGTTTTCTTTGCTAAGAAAAATATAATTAAATTTAAAAAAATTTAATATAATTAACTAAAATTAAATTAATTTTAAACAAAAAATTAAATTACTTACAACTAACTGCGGATTACAACGGATTTTTAAATATCCGTTGTTAATCCATCTATAATTATAACAACTTTTAGAAAAAATAAAAAATCTTCATAAGATTATCAATGGATGACTATAATTGTTGCGGCGTAATGGTTGAGGTTCTGAGGATGTGATGTAATATCTCATCTGTCCAGAATTCGATTCTAAACGTATACAATAATTGCAGTATTTAGATTATCTGGACTAATTTTTTGTAGGCACAATTTTATGAGATTAGTCCCGACATAGCCTGAGACACTCTTCCAAAATTACCGACAAACTTTATTTAATATATATATATATATATATATATATAAATCAAATTTCTTCGTTTATAATATATAATATGAGATGATTTGATTGATTAACGGATTTATCTTGCTTGTTTTGTTTAGTCGAAGAATCTTCTTGGGTGGATAAGCTCTAACAGTACAAAAATTCTACTATTGCAGAAAGTGTAATTTAGTGGATTTGTAGTTGTCTGGTTACCGGAAGTAGATGTGAGATAAGACATCTAAACCATTTTAATCATGGTGTCACATTTTAAGCTCTAACTTATCTTTCGAGATTCACATCACGAGTTGGTACTACAAACTTCTATTGAAACAAATAAAATCGTAACTAGTATTAATCATTAAGCACTATTAGAAAACAAACTTTCGCATACGAAAATCATCGATGAAATTTCTTCCACGGATTCAATGGTGGATTATCAACCGATCACCGACGGATCTAGGAAGTTGATTTTTCCCTGGACTTGTTGACTTCTATCTGTAAAAATTAAAAAAATATATCTTTCTAAATCTTTAAAAATAGCGATGGATTTTAATTAATTAAATTGCACTTATAATCCGTTTGTAACTTTATTAAGAATCTTTTATTTTTTAAATTTTTTTTAAAACTATCTATTGGGTTTTAAAACAATATTTGTCACCTCGAACATCCATCGGGTGAAAATTTTTTAGGTTACAATAGTTAGGAAACATTCCCAAAACTTAAAACCCGATCGGATCCAGTGACAATTAAACACAAGTAATAAAACACACATAGAGTTGTACCTTTCAGATTTGACGAGAATTTTGACAAAGCACTTAGAAACCAATATAAGTTTCCTATATCGATAATCCACACACGAACAGGCTATGTGCCTCCATCGGATTCTATCCCAGAACCCTAGATTTAAATGTGTATTACAGAATAGAAAATGTTTTTTTTTTGTATTCTTTATCTGAAGGCTAATTCTAAATGATTCAGTCGGATAGAAATTAATTTAGTATCACTTTATTTACATGGTTTGAATTATAGATAAACTATAATTCAAAATAAGGATTTTTAATTATTTGTAATACTTGTATAATTATCATAACTACACTTTTAGTACATATTTTCATAATTATCCTCTAATAATAATTGTTTCTACAATCAACATGGTTAAACTTGGGTTACTACAAATGGAGCAAACGTATTATTTGTGTGTGATCCTATAGATTTACATATTTCTTAGCAATATTCTTGTGTGACATATGTCATGTGCATTTAATAACTTATATTCTTCCACTTGCATACGATACACAGTAACACAGACAGTGGTAAGGGTCTAGCATCAAGTCACTGCCCCTAAGGCTATGTACATGTTTTTATCTTGAGCAATATGATTGATCCAATCAATCATGTGGTAGAATCATTCATTATCCTTTTGTTCATGATTTTTTTGTTTATATATCTATCTCATCCTTTGTAGTTCAAGATTATGTTTCTTGATCCCGACATATTTGATTCAAACCAATGTTATTAGTTGAGCTAGTCCATTTGTCTATAGCCATCTTCGCTCTTTAAAAAATTAAATTCTTTGATTTTCTCGTCAAAAATGAAGATTCCAACTAGGAGATGCTTGGTTTAGTCCATAAAAGGACCTTTGCAACTTGCATACCTTTTCATGATATTTTGCATGCTTAAAACCTTATGGTTTTACCATGTACACGACCTCGCTCAAAGTTCCGTTAAGGAACATGGTTTTAACATCCATTTGTCATATCTCGTAATCATGATTCGCAACTATGGCAAGAAGAATCCTGATAAATTTAATCATAACAACTGGAGAAAAGTTCTCACTATAATCTACTCCTTGAGTCTAACTTAAACCTTTTGCTACCAATCTGGTTTTATAGGTATGCACAATCCCATCTATGTCAAATTCCTTTTTGAATACCCACTTGCACCTAACCACTTTGCAGCTGACAATTGCATCTACCAATAGATTGTATTTCAGCCTTCATGACATCATACCATTAATCAGATTCCAAACCTAATATTGCTTCTTTATAGGTTGCAGGTTCATTATGAACTGCGTTGCAACGGCTAATGAGATAACCATATCTCTCAGGCTCTTAACGATTTCTAACCGATCTTTGGACTATTTGTATCTTATCATTTTTCTCAACAACTTGTTGGGATTCAATATCTTGTTGATGGTCAATGTCAACTATCATCTTCTGGTTCTTGAATTTCTTCAACTTCTTTTTTGTCTCTTGTAGTGGTTCTTGTTAGAAAATCATTTTCTAAGAACTCACCATGTCGTGCAACGAATACTTTGTACTCACTGGGTGTGTAGAAGTAATATCCAATTGTCTCTTTTGGATATCACACAAAGATGCACTTTTAAGATCTTGGGTCAACCTTTTTAGAGGCTTCTTGCTTAACATTATCATCACATCCCCTAAATTATAGGACAACTTTGGGATCTTCCGGTTCATAATGCATATGGGGTCTTTTCTGTCTTTTTTTTTGGTGTATTATTTAGTATTTGACAATTGTTTTTATGACATATCTCTTGAAACTCTTAGGTAAAGTGGTACTAATCATCATAGAGCAAATCATGACCAACAAAGTTCTATCTCTCCTCTCGGACACACCATTGTGTTGTGCTGTTCCTGGAGGAGTTAGTTGGGATACAATCCCACAATCTCTACGATAATAGATAAACTCTTGGCTTAGATATTCGTGACCTCGATCTAATTGAAGTGTTTTTTTTTCTTCAAAATGAACAATAAATTTTCTTATGTATATATATATATATATATATATATATTTATTTATTTATTTAAAGTCAAATACAGATAAGACAAAGGAAATTAAACATTAACATAAAAATAATAAAATACAAATTCATAACAGAACTAAACATACATGGTACCGAACAAACGTAGTTTCACAATGAAAAATTTAAAAACTAAGATATAAATTAAAGAATCTATTGGTTTCCAGTAGCCATATAGTGACTAAAGTTTCCGGTCGTAGTAAATCTCCAAGTATTAATCTGGAAATTGTAAATGACTATGATCTTTGGACAAGGGATGCATTTTTTTGGTTGACTGGGGTCCAACAATGACATTAATATGCTGGAGTCCTCACATCTTTTTGCAAATTTTGCAGCAGATAATGCTACTCCTACTGATTATGTCATCAAAGAAAAATCGTATAATATAGAGTATTAATTTAGCTGATGATATATATCCAAAATGGGTTACTGCTGTTCAATCTATTCATGATCTACGTGGCTCTAAAAACAATATTTTGTAATGAAACAAGAAACATGTAGAAAAGACGTGGAATATGCATTTTGCGTATTGCAATTAAGATTTGCAATTGTAGCAAGATATGCATGGTTATGGAGGAGTGAAATATTGCATAATACAATGACTTTGTGCATCATTATGCATAATATGATTATAGAAGATAAACGAGATGTTAATGCACCAATTGAAGAACGACGCAAAGTGCAAGACGTGAGAGTTGAGATGGTGAGCGATAACAAATGGTGGATTTGAACAGCTTCCTGTTCGACATAAAAAGATCAAGGATAAAGACACACACTATGAACTTCGAAATGGATTAATTGATCATTTGTAAGATAAGTAGACTAATTCAGAGTATTACTATTATTTATGTGTTTTTTAAATTTATGTTATTTGAATTAATGTATTTTTTTAATATTAATGAGCGCAGCAAATTTAATGTTCTTTTTAATGTTAAGATTGAAAATGGTTTTACCGCAATCATTAGTATTTTTATAGATTCTCATGCAATCTTGTGATCACTAAAACATGCACACACATACATGCATACATACGTGGCAAGAATCTGGCGGGGTCTAATATGGCGGCAGTTCACATCATCCTCCGCCGCCTTGCCAATTGTGTGGTCTTAAGTCATCGCTGGCAATTAATTAGTGGGTGGATATTGCTATTTATGGACGGACCTTCGCATACGATCGTCATCAAAACGATGGCTGCCACTCAAACCACAGTTTCAGTCACCCCATATTACGACCGACCGACCGAACTCAAAGCCTTCGACGAAACAAAGGCCGGTGTCAAAGCCCTGGCCGATGCCGGAATCCAAAAGATCCCTCGTATCTTCCACAACCAACCGGAACCCTTGCCCAAATCCTCCACCCCTTTCGAGATTCCAGTTGTGGACCTTGGGTCCACCGATAGAGCATCGACGGTGGCGAAGATCCGTGAGGCGTCGGAGACTGTAGGGTTTTTTCAAGTTGTGAATCACGGGATACCTGTGACTGTGATGAACGAGATGCTTCAAGGAGTCCGTAGATTTCACGACCAAGATGTGGAGGTGAAGAAACGGTTTTACACAAGAGATCCTTCGAGAGCAGTGATTTATAATAGCAATTTCGATCTGTTCAGCTCCCCTGCTGCAAATTGGAGAGACACTTTTATTTCATTAATGGCTCCATCACCTCCGCCCCTGGAAGAATTGCCGGAGGTTTGCAGAGAAATACAAGTCGAGTACTCGAATGAAGTGATGAAACTAGGTGGAGTCCTATTTCGATTGATCTCAGAGGCGTTGAAACTGAATCCTAATCACCTTGGAGATTTAGACTGTGACAAGGCGCTTGCCTTTGTCGCCCATTGTTACCCTGCTTGTCCACAACCAGATCTAACCATGGGTGCAACCAAACACACAGACGATGGGTTCATTACCGTTCTTCTACAAGATGAAATTGGAGGCCTTCAAATACTTCATAACCAACAATGGGTTGATGTTCCTCCAACCCCTGGTGCGCTTGTGGTCAATATTGGAGATCTATTACAGGTATAACGACATTCAGCATATGATTTTGAGTTTGAAAAACTGGAGATCAGAATCTGATTACGTTAGGGTTTCAGATGATATCGAATGACAAATTCAGGAGCGTGGAGCACAGAGTGGTGGCGAACGAGAAAGGGCCGAGGGTGTCGGTGGCATGCTTCTTCAGCAGCTCCCTGGCGCCGTCGACAAAGGTGTACGGACCCATCAAGGAGTTGGTTTCCGATGACAACCCAGCGAGGTACAGAGAAACCACCGTTTATGACTACATCCAGTATTCACTCTCCAAGGGACTTGATGGCGTTCCTCGTTTACTTCATTTGAAGCTTTAAATTATATTTTCAACACATACCATTATCATATTCATCATCAAACTCGTAATTATTACTATTCAATATATATCTATACCTAAATAATTATAAACTCGTAATTATTACTATTCAATATAAGGTTTGTTTTCTTAAAAAGTAAAAAAAGATTTTTACTGTACGTTAGTCCATGGGAAAGCCCGCTTTTTGTAAAGCGGGTTTTGAAAAGTTTTCAAGATTGTAAAAACGGACTTGGATTTACTATATATTAGGTTCGTTAGACAAGAAAAATATGTTAGACCTGGCCCGGGCCCGACCCAAACCCATAAATAATAAGCTCTAATGGTTTGTAAACCCTACTTCTGAAACAAAATATATTGGAATCGTTTGGCTTCAAAAGAATTATAAGTTGATTATAAAATTTTAACTATTGAATGTTGTTCTTGATATCTAGGATTTTTGTCGAATGAGTGTATCTTCAAGTTAAATCACAGGTCTGTAAAGTCTCGTGATGCGTTATTAGTCAGATTCCACAAGTTTAAGGGATCTTTAAAGTTTTTCTGGTTGATCTTGAGAAAATTTTTAAAGTTCTTTGATTGGTTTTGATGGGAGTTTTTTGGTTTTTGTAGTTGATTTTGAGAAACTTTTTTGGGTTTTTTTTTATTGATTTCGAGGGATTTTTTTGGTTTTTTGGTTGATGTTCTTTGTATTTTATGATATTATAGATTTCAAAACATCCATCAGTCCTTTATATATCTTTCATCTTCTTTCAAACTATCATCTTTCTACCAATGTGGGATGATGAAACTCAATCTTATTTCAAGAAGATTGATATTTTGTGAAATGAATAATTTGTTTTTAATTTTGTGTTTTGCATAATATTTTAACTGTCTTTCGCACTATAAATTTACCATTTGGTCGATTTTGATTTCAATCATGGTTATAGATTTCAAAGCATCTATCACTATTTTTTATATCCATCATCCCCTTTTAAACTATCATTTTTCTACCAATGTGAAAAGATGAAAGTCAACCTTATTTCAAGATTTGAGTAATACTCAAACCTCATTTTTGGCAAATATCATCCTTGGTTTCACTTTTAATTTTGCACAACAATTTTTACCGTTTGGTTGGTTTTGATTCCAATCAGGTTATAGACTTCAAAGATAGTCATCCAAAATAAAACAATCCTATGAGTCAAACTTTATGATTAACATAAAGACATCAAATCCACCTTTCTTATACATACCACTTTGTTCAAATATTTAAACTCTTCATCAATGTGAGATAACTAAAACTCAATCACAATTCACCGTTTGAGAATACTTAATTCTCATGGTGTCACCTCAATACCCTCAGTGTGTGTATATATATATTTATATATATATATATATAGGTTGGTTATTATACAACCCATGACATTTGTGCAACCAATACAACTCAATCTCAACCGTCCATTTCATTTGATTAATATGTGATTTGATAGAAGTTTTGATTGTTTCCTAATATAAAGTATTGATCATAATTAATGAATCATATTCATCTTACATAAATATTTAAATCATAATAAATGAACTCTCATCATTTCCATAAATATCTCAATTTATTGGGTTGCATTGGTTGTACAAATGCAACATGTTGTATTTGAAACAAACTATATATATATATATATATATATATACTATTTTATAATGCATTTGGCTAAAACTCTTAAAAACTCTTAAAACTCTTAAAAACTCTTAAAGTCGTTCATCCCTAAACGATTTCATCCCTATCCGATTTCATCTCATATCTGAATTCGTGTAACTAACTGCAGATAAACACAATCAA